TAAAGATGATCCAAGATCTTGGAAATACAATGCAGAAAATACAAGAAAGGTTTAACAAGAACCTAGAAGAACTAAAGAGCAAACAAACAATGATGAAAACACAATAAATGAAATTAAAAATTCTCTACAAGGAATCAATAGCAGAATAACTGAGGCAGAAGAATGGATAAGTGACCTGGAAGATAAAATAGTGGAAATAACTACTGCAGATCAGAAAAAAGAAAAAAGAATGAAAGAATTGAGGATGGTCTTAGAGACCTCTGGGACAACATTAAACGCACCAACATTCGAATTATTATAGGGGTCCCAGAAGAAGAAAGGGATTGAGAAAATATTTGAAGATATTATAGTTGAAAACTTCCCTAATAAGGGAAAGGAAATAGTCAATCAAGTCCAGGAAGCACAGAGAGTCCCATACAGGATAAATCCAAGGAGAAACACACCAAGGCACATATTAATAAACTATCAAAAATTAAATACAAAGAAAAAATATTAAAAGCAGAAAGGGGAAAACAACAAATAACATACAAGGGAATCCCCATAAGGTTAACAGCTGATCTTTCAGCAGAAACTCTGCAAGCCAGAAGGGAGTGGCGGGACATATTTAAAGCGATGAAAGGGAAAAACCGACAACCAAGATTACCCTACCCAGCAAGGATCTCATTCAGATTTGATGGAGAAATTAAAACCTTAACAGACAAGCAAAAGCTAAGAGAATTCAGCACCACCAAACCAGTTTTACAACAAATGCTAAAGGAATTTCTCTAGGCAGGAGACAAAAGCAAAGGAAAAGACCTACAAAAACAAACTCAAAACAATTAAGAAAATGGTAACAGGAACATATGTATCGATAATTACCTTAAATGTAAATGGATTAAATGCTCCAAGCAAAAGACACAGACTGGATGAATGGATACAAAAACAAGATCCATATATATGCTGTCTACAGGAGACCCACTTCAGACCTAGGGACACATCTCCTGAAAATGAGGAAATGGAAAAAGATATTCCATGCAAATGGAAATCAAAAGAAAGCTGGAGTAGCAATTCTTTTATCACACAAAATAGACTTTAAACTAGACTATTACAAGAGACAACGAAGGACACTACATAACGATCAAGGGATCAATCCAAGAAGAAGATATAACAAGTGTAAATATTTATGCACCCAACACAGGAGCACCTCAGTACATAAGGCAAATGCTAACAGCCATAAAATGGGAAATCAACAATAACACAATCATAGTAGGGGACTTTAACACCCCACTTTCACCAATGGTAAGATCATCCAAAATGAAAATAAATAAGGAAACACAGCTTTAAATGATACATTAAACAAGATGGACTTAATTGATATTTACAGATATTCCATCCCAAAACAACAGAATATACTTTCTTCTCAAGTGCTCATGGAACATCCTCCAGGATAGATCGTATCTTGGGTCAAATCAAGATACAAATCAAGCCTTGGTAAATTTAAGAAAATTGAAATCGAATCAAGCATGTTGTCTGACCTCAACCCATGGGACTAGATATCAATTACAGGAAAAATTCTGTAAAAAATACGAACACATGGAGGCTGAACAATACACTACTTAATAACCAAGAGATCACTGAAGAAATCAAAGTGGAAATCAAAAAATCCCTAGAAACAAATGATAATGAAAACACAATGACGCAAAACCTATGGGATGCAGGAAAAGCAGTTCTAAGGGGGAAGTTTATAAAAATACAATCCTACCTCAAGAAACATCTCAAATAAACAACCTAACCTTACACCTAAAGCAATTAGAGAAACAAGAACCAAAAAAATCCCAAAGTTAGCAGAAGGAAAGAAATCATAAAGATCAGATCAGAAATAAATGAAAAAGAAATGAAGGAAACAATAGCAAAGATCAATAAAGCTAAAAGCCAGTTCTTTAAGAAGATAAACAAAATTGATAAATTATTAGCCAGATAAATCAAGAAAAAAAGGAAGAGGACTCAAATCAATAGAATTAGAAATGAAAAAGAAGAAGTAACAACTGACACTGCAGAAATACAAAGGATCATGAGAGATTACTACAAGCAACTCTATGTCGATAAAATAGACAACCTGGAAGAAATGGACACACTCTTAGATAAGCACAACCTTCCTAGACTGAACCAGGAAGAAATAAACAGACCAATCACAAGCACTGAAATTGTGACTGTGATTAAAAATCTTCCAACAAACAGAAGACCAGGACCAGATGCCTTTACAGGAGAATTCTATGAAACATTTAGAGAAGAGCTAACACCTATCCTTCTCAAACTCCAAAATATAGTAGACGGAGGAACACTCCCAAACTCATTCTACGAGGCCACCATCACCCTTATACCAAAACCAGACAAAGATGTCACAAAGAAAGAAAACTACAGGCCAATATCACTGATTAACATAGATGTAAAACTCCTCAACAAAATACCAGCAAACAGAATCCATCAGCACATTAAAAGGATCATATACCATGATCAAGTGGGGTTTATCCCAGGAATGCAAGGATTCTTCAATATACACAAATCAATCAATGTGATAAACCATATTAACAAACTGAAGGAGAAAAAACATACGATCATCACAATAGAGGCAGAAAAACTTTTGACAAAATTCAACACCCATTTATGATAAAAACCCTCCAGAAAGTAGGCATAGAGGGAACTTACCTCAACATAATAAAGGCCATATAAGGCAAACCCACAGCCAACATCATTCTCAAAGGTGAAAAACTGAAACCATTTCCTCTAAGATCAGGAACAAGACAAGGTTGCCCACTATCATCACTAGTATTTAACATAGTGTGGGAAGTTTTAGCCACAGCAATCAGAGAAGAAAAAGAAATAAAAGGAATCCAAATCGGAAAGGAAGAAATAAAGCTGTCACTGTTTGCAGATGACATGATACTATACATAGAAAATCCTAAAGCGTCTACCAGAAAACTACTAGAGCTAATCAATGAATTTGGTAAAGTAGCAGGACACAAAACTAATGCACAGAAATCTCTTGCATTCCTATACACTAATGATGAAAAATATGAACGAGAAATTAAGGAAACACTCCCATTTAGCACTGCAACAAAAAGAATAAAATACCTAGGAATAAACCTACCTAAGGATGCAAAAGACCTGTATGCAGAAAACTATAAGACACTGATGAAAGAAATTAAAGGAGATACAAACAGATGGAGAGATATACCATGTTCTTGGATTGGAAGAAGCAACATTGTGAAAGTAATGATATGACCCAAAGCTATCTACAGATTCAATGCAATCCCTATCAAACTACCAATGGCATTTTTCACAGAACTAGTACAAAAAAATTCACAATTTGTATGGAAACACAAAAGACCCTGAATAGCCTAAGCAATCTCGAGAAAGAAAAACGGAGCTGGACCGAATCAGGCTCCCAGACTTCAGACTATACTGCAAATCTACAGTAATCAAGACAGTATGGTACCGGCACACAAACAGAAATACAGATCAATGGAACAGGATAGAAAGCCCAGAGATAAAACCACACACATATTGTCACCTTATTTTTGATAAAGGGGACAAGAATACAATGGAGAAAAGACTGCCTCTTCAATAAGTGGTGCTGGGATAACCGGACAGCTACATGTAAAAGAATGAAAGTAGAGCACTCCCTAACACCATACACAAAAATAAACTCAAAATGGATTAAAGACCTAAATGTAAGGCCAGACACTATAAAACTCTTAGAGGAAAACATAGGCAGAAGACTCTATGACCTAAATCACAGCAGGATCCTTTTTGACCCACCTCCTAGAGAAATGGAAATAAAAACAAAAATAAACAAATGGGACCTAATGAAACTTCAAAGCTTTTGCACAGCAAAGGAAACCATAAACAAGATGAAAAGACAGCCCTCAGAATGGGAGAAAATATTTGCAAATGAAGCAACTGACAAAGGATTAATCTCCAAAATTTACAAGCATCTCATGCAGCTCAGTATCATAAAAACAAACAACCCAATCCAAAAATGGGCAGAAAATCTAAATAGACATTTCTTCAAAGAAGATATATAGATTGCCAACAAACACATGAAAGGATGCTCAACATCACTAATCATTAGAGAAATGCAAATCCAAACTATAATGAGGTATCATCTCACAACAGTGAGAATGGTCATCATCAAAAAATCTACAAACAATAAATGCTGGAGAGAGTGTGGAGAAACGTGAACCCTCTTGCACTGTTGGTGGGAATGTAAATTGATACAGCCACTATAGAGAACTGTATGTAGGTTCCTTAAAAAACTAAAAATAGAACTACCATATGACCCAGCAAACCCACTACTGGGCATATAACCTGAGAAAACCATAATTCAAAAAGACAGGTGAACCACAATGTTCATCACAGCTCTATTTACAATAGCCAGGACATGGAAGCAACCTAAGTGTCCATCGACAGAGGAACGGATAAAGAATATGTGACACATATATACAGGGGAATATTACTCAGCCATAAAAAGAAAAAAATTGAGTTACTTGTCGTGAGGTGAATGTACCTAGTGTCTGTCATACAGAGTGAAGTCAGTCAGAAAGAGAAAAACAAATACTGTATGCTAACACATATATATGGAACCTTTAAAAAAAAAAATGGTTCTGAAGAACCTAGGGGCAGGACAGGAATAAACACGTATAGATAGAAAATGGACTTGAGGACACGGGGAGGTGGAAGGGTAAGCTGCGATGAAGTGAGAGAGTGGCATGGACATATATACACTACGAAATGTGAAACAGATACCTAGTGGGAAGCAGCCACATAGCACAGGGAGGTCAGCTCGGTGCTTTGTGACCACCTAGAGGGGGTGGGTTAGGGAGGGTGGGAGGGAGACACAAGAGAGAGGAGATATGCGGATATATGTATATCTATAGCTGATTCACTTTGTTATAAAGCAGAAACTAACACACCATTGTAAAGCAATTATACTCCAATAAAGATGTTAAAAAAAGAGCTCTCGCGTGCGCCATGTCTGGTTCCTCCAGCGTCGCCGCTATGAAGAAAGTGGTTCAACAACTCCGGCTGGAGGCTGGGCTCAACCGCGTGAAGGTTTCCCAGGCAGCTGCAGATTTGAAACAATTCTGTCTGCAGAATGCTCAACATGACCCCCTGCTGACTGGAGTATCTTCAAGTACAAATCCCTTCAGACCTCAGAAAGTCTGTTCCTTTTTGTAGTAAAATGAATCTTTGCAAGGTTTTTAAACCACTTTTCATAAACCGGTGAATATTCAAAGGAAAGCTAAATCTGAAGCCTGTACAAAAGCCTGTCTCTATAACATGTGCCATACTATATGAACTTCTACTTTTGTCAGTCTACCTCTCTGAATATTCATGAATTTCTGTTTCACAAGGGTAATTATTTTATATACACTGGTGGCAGCATACAATAAAATACTTAGTATAAAAAATAAAAAAGATGTTAAAAAAATTTAATGTATCAATGTTTCTCAAAGTGTTGTCACTAGACCAGCAGCATCATGATCCCTTGCTAACTTATTAGAAAAAAACTCTCAGGCCACATCCCACATGTACTAAATCAGACACTGGGAGTAAAGCCAGCAGGCAGTGTTTTAATACGTTTACCTAATGATTTTAATGCACACTAAAGTTTGAGAACTACTAGACTAGGTTATGCTTTTATAGGAAAAATCATCTCCCAAATCATAGCAATTTAACAAAACAAGATTTTATGTCGCATAAAAGCAAAGTCTGCTGTAGATCTAAGTAATTTCTCAAGGCAGCTCTCTTCGATATTTTGGGTCAGCATTTTGGGATACTTCAAACTTATAAGCACAATTGGTATGGTGAGGAATGAGTAAGCTGGAGAATTATGTGACGTGCAATTAAATGCTTCCATCCAGAAACGAGCAACACTACTGCTCACATTTCACCAACTAAAGCAGTCCACGTGGTCACACTAAAATTCAAGGATTAAGGACCGGGCTTCCCTGGTGGCGCAGTGGTTGCGAGTCCGACTGCCGATGCAGGGGACGCGGGTTCGTGCCCCGGTCCGGAAGGTCCCACATTCCGCGGAGCGGCTGGGCCCGTAAGCCATGGCCTCTGAGCCTGCGCGTCCGGAGCTTGTGCTCCGCAACGGGAGAGGCCACAACAGTGAGAGGCCCGTGTACCGCAAAAAAAAAAAAAAAAAAAAAAATTAAGGACCTTCAATCTCCTGAGGTCTAGAAGTAGAGATAACCACATACTGGTAAACATTAGTAATGCATATCACAATTAGCTATGTTTCCTTTTCCAACTGCAAGTCCCTGAGTATAAACACAGAGTTACTGAGTAATAGGAGCTGGCCTAGAAATCTCTAGTTTTAACAGTAGCCCAGGAAATCCCATTATCTGATATCAATTAAATTTAAGAACCAGTGCTTTGGATTTTAATTTTAATATCTGTTATATAATTAACTTTGTTTTATCAAATGGAAGATGATTGAATTTACAGAAATGCAAATATTTATGACAAGTAAAATAATGTCTTTGGTTATTATAAGAAGGCAAGGAGAGGTGTCTATTAGGCTTTGTATCGTCATTAGCGTTTACTAGCCAAGGATAGATTTAATACATGTTTAATGTATTTATGCAAAAAAAGTCATTTCTTGAGCTTCTTTTTGAATCACTGAAATATGAAGAGTAGACACCGTACCACCTCCAAATTGGAATAATTCTGAAATAATGATGTACAATTAGCCTGTCTAGAATTTGGGTGTTAACTCTTCCTTGCTTTCTCTAAATGTTTGCGTCTAGAGGACTCTGTCCCCAAATATAGTTTACATACCTTATATTAAAGCAAGATAAACATTTATACAATGTTCAGTAGGAAACAGAAAACTGTTTTAGAAGGCAGTCATGTTCACCTGATGTATAATGAGTATCTAACCTAGGTTTTAATCCATTCAGGATCTCAATTTTTAAAAAAGTGTTTCTGATACTGAACCAATTTATTTTTAATCAAGTATCCAATAAATGATCTATTACATCTTGCAGAAATGAATATATGTTAGATTTATTTCTTTTCTTCTTTCCCTGAAGTCTTGTCTCAGTTAAAAATGAATCCTATCACTATTTTATGGGTGAATGCTATGGACCATAATCACTACTAAGTAATTCATATAAAAATGAGCCTCTATGTGGAAAAGTCTCTACACTGAGTTATTTTTAAAGAAATGACATTACTATTGCAACGAAGTAATGGAACATATACACATATAACCATGTATGTACATATATACATAAACACATATACACATATAAAAAAATGACAGATGTCACAAAAATCCCCTTCAATTTTCAGTTTCTTAAAAAATCCTTCTCCAAACTAAAACAAACAAAAAAAACTGCCTTACTTAGAATTCTTTATCTCTTTCTCCCTTGGTTATTTTTCACCTTCTTGCTTTTTATCTGAAATACTCTTCCTTCAGAACTCCCACGACATATTTCCTCAGCTCATTCAAGTCCTAGCTCAAATTTCGCCTTCTAAATAAGGTCTCTTCTAATAACAATCCAACTTAATATTGCAGTACTCCCTCCTTGTACTCCTTATATGCCTCCCTTGCTTTATTTCTCTCCATAACACTTATCACATTTGATGCTATATATATACATATTTATTTTGTTATTGTTTATCACTCTACACTAGAATGCAAACTCCACAAGGCAAAGAATTTTTGTCTGTTTTGTTCACTCTTGTACTTCCAGTACCTAGAACAGCGATGACACATAGTAAATGTTTGATAATTACTTGTGAACTAAATAAAGAAATAAGTTAGTAAAAAAACAAAGGAAGAAGCAAATAAATGGAGGAATTAATTATAAAATATTTAGAGCTCTTAGGTTCAGGAAATCATCACCTCTGCTAAATGGGTCATGTGAGCATGCTGAAAATTGTACTATAAAATTGATGATGAACTATTTTATCAACTGAACTCTTGCATCATACAAAGAATAGAAATACCAACTCATACAGGTAGAAGTCAGGGAAGGTTACTTCACAAGGTTACTTTGTAAGAATATTTTAAGGTACATCTGAAGGTGGTGAACAGATCACCAAATGAGAAGGGCATAACAAGCTGAGAGAACAAATTGTGCACAGCAAAGAAACTTGAGATAGCAGAGCATGATTGGTAATGGAGAACTACAATTATTCAAGGAAAGCTGTAGCATAAATATTGAGAGAGGAAATACCAAGGAAATAAAATCAAAGGGGCACGAGAGTGCCAATGATGAAGGCTGCATGTGTCATGCTGAAGAACTAGAACTCATTCTTCCAAGAACTGAGGAACCGCCAAACAGCTTTAAGCCTGGGCACAACATCACCACATTGTCATTTCTAAAAACACCATTTTGTCTGCATCAGAGACATGAATTTAAATAGGGTAGAGGGCAGAACATGGTCTAGGTGGTTTACGATAAAGATGTTAACTAAAACAGATGGTAGGGATGGAGGACAGAAGTAAATTTGAGAAATGTGAGATAAAAATGAGAAGTATTAAGTGATCAGTTGGAAATGAGGGAAGAGAGAAAGACAAGAATCTAGAATGACCACTAGGAATCTGGCTGGGCAACTGGATAAAGAGGGAAAGCTAGGAGAAAAAGCAAGTTTTGGAATAAAGGTGATGAGTTTGGCTTTTGTTACGCTGGGTGAGATGTGCCTGTGGGACATCCAAATAAAGATGATCAATGGGTGGCTGAATCTCTGAGTCTGTCACTTGCTAGAAGCAACTGAAGATGTCCAGCAGTGAGTCTACAACATACAGGCAGAGAAAGGCATGAGTCAGATGGAAGGCTTTAGGGACAGTGAGGTAAACAAGTAGAAAACAAGAAGCCTGGGAATAAAACCTGAACAGCATCAGCTTTTAAGGAACAGAGAAAGAAAAAAGAGTTTAAGAATATGAGAAGGGGAAAAAATGGCTGAAAAGGACACGACAAGGAGAGAATGATGGCACAGAGGCCAAACAAGGAGAGTTTTAGTCTTTCACTGAAGAAGGGAGTAGTCAAAATTGTCAAGAGCATCAGAGAGATAATTTAAGTACTATCGTTCCCCTACACTGCATAGAGGAGACAGAGAAGACCAGGACAAGGCTAAGGGAAAAGTAGTTACCAGAATGCTCACGCCAATATGTTCCAGATTTAAATATAGAAAACTAGCAGTGTTTGGTCATCACCAGGGAATTATTCTCACTTTATGATTTTTTTTCTTTCCCAACAAAGGCAAATACTACTGATCATTGAAGTCTGGTACAAGTCCTGCTTCTTCTATTTCTTTACATATGTATTTATTTCACTATCTGCAGAAATATGAATTGTATGATCGTTGTGGAATAAAAATTTTATTTTTGTCTTTTAGGGTTGGCAATATTTTAAAGATTTTAAAACTTAGAGAAATAATTAGTTCTATGAATATGTTTAAAAATACTGTCGAGTAATCAAAATTTAAGTAATAATATTACAAATAATTTTGAGGCTTGCTTAAATGGAAATAAAGAACCTATGTCCATGCAAAACCAACATGGTGGAAACACTAATACACCAAGCTATGTAATCAAATATATCCTAATAATTAGGTTTAACTCATAATTGCTAATTGTATTTCCACTTGGAATTAGAGAACTTGAAGCTATTTCCACTTGGGATTAGAGAACTTGAAGCTTTGCACTTAGAACATATAACATATAATCATCTTAGATCCAAATTACCCCACTCCTTTAAATAAAATTAAAATTATTTGGTTATATGTTTTATAACACAAAAGTTGTTATATTATTCAAAAGTAGTATCTTCTAGAAATATATTTTTTCACATCAACTTCTATTGAATTATTTTAGTTATCCTATTTAAATATAGGTGCAAAATAAAATAAAATAATTTTTTACTCTTACTAACTCCAAAAGCACACACAGATGTATCTAGAACATAGTCTATAAATAGAATTCATTCAAGTTAATAAAGTTAGTAAAGAAAAATCATTTCCGCTTTTGCTTAGGATAAAGGCCCTGGCCTTTTTTTCTTTTTCGTACCATGGAAATTAATCAAAACTAAGTTTGTTAAATATTAATATCTAAAAGAAAATACTGATTTTCCTTCATTAATTAAAAAAAAATCTACATTCTCTCCCCTAAATTCTTATCATGTCTATATTCATCTCCACGACTGCCTACCACTAGCATAACTCTGAATTTTCTTGACCTACCATGACCTAGTTTTTTGTCAATTGTCTTCATTTCCTCATATCACAAAGGAGTCCAAATGGAGAGCAGAGAAAAATGCCACTGGGAGCATTATATGCCCATACTAAATTCCTACTTTTCAAGATGGATTTCCACCTCCAACACCACTGGATGATTCTGAGGTGCTTCAAGATTAATGTGTTAAGAACCAGATTTATTATACCCTTTCCCACAT